AAAAAGACAGACATACATACATATATACATACATACATACATACATACATACATACATACATACTAGCATAGCATAGCATAGCATAGCATAGCATAGCATAGCATAGCATAGCATAGCATAGCATGGCATAGCATAGCGTAGCATGGCATAGCAAAGAAACCCGAACAAATCCCTAGGAAAGCAAAAAGCACCGCTGCGCTGGGGTCCGTGACACTCTACGCCCCGGAGAACGAAAGAGCTAGAGGGAGAGGGAGAAACAGATGCACTAGATGCTCTACATGCATTCGCGCGCGTGTGTGTGTGTGTGTATGTATTGTGTGAATGAGGCAGAGTCTTAGCAAGTGGAGACACTCTCTGCAAGGCCGCCGCGAAGGAACTGCTATGTGCCGGCAAGAGGTCCCGAGGGGGAATCAGGATTTGATAAGCGATTTTCCAGGCTGTTATAATAATTTGGTACGCATACACACAAAGGCTCTTGGCTGGAGGAATTTAGGCTTTGCTTGGGCGCATGCAGTCTTTCTAATTCTAGGATAAGATAAGTCTTGATGCGAGGAAGAGATCCACGGAAATCCAGCGGCCAAGCTTCGTGGAGCCAATGCGGGGCTCCTGGCATGGGAGCTAGAGCCTATTTGGAGTATTCGGAAGTTGCTTGGGACGAAAGCGGTGTCGGAAGCCCTGCGACGATGACAAGTTTGGCGAGGCCTGCGCCAGAAGCCGTCGCAGTCGAGGGAACGAGGCCCGAAGTCTGGCTCTTTGGTGTTCAGAGTTGTTCCCTGAACTGAGAGTGTCCAGTGGACTTGACTTCACTCTGCTGCCACACACCGCAAGCTGGCCCACAGATGTTGTGAGGCCTCGCAGGCGCCTCCGTGGCAAGCAGCCGCCGAGTGGCGAAAGGCACAGACAAAAGGGTTGCAGCAGAAGCAGCAAGAGCACCGCATGTGATGAGCTTGTCAGGACTGCCCCATGTGTGCAGCCGACTGCCGAAGCTCCGAAGGCCAAACCCAAGGCGGGCAGCAGAGTGAAGATCAGGACCGAAAGGGACTCCGCGGCTCTTTTCAAAAGTTGAGAGTTGCAACCAGCTCCGAGTTCAACTCTTGGGGCCGAAGACGCTTGCCCCAGGCCCCAGTGGGGCAAAGTGTCAAAGGGAGGGCCGCTGAGAAGTTCTCGGACAAGCAGCAGCTTCTCGGCCAATAGCACCACGGAGGAAGTCCGCCAGCAGAGTCAGGGTTTTGGAGTCTCCATCTCGGCCCAACGAGACTACAGCTGAGTTCCAAAGCTCTAAGGCTCTAAGGGCTGCCAAGACCCTTCGGAGCGCCGAGGAAGTGGGCCATCCAGCTCCGCGACATGGGCTTCACCAAGCGAGGGAACCTGGAGTTTTGCTTGATGGGTGGGGGGGGTCGTTCGGCTCAGCGTTGTGTGGTGAAGCATCGTGTTCTTGGATCCCGCAGAAATGCTACCCTGAACGGCCCTGCCCTGCATCTCTTGTGTCATGAATCTTGCCCCGACCAAGTGTGAGTGGCGAAGCCCGCAAGTTCCCCGCCGACCGGAAGACCCGGCATTGGCACAGGCCGGAAACGCAAATTGTGCAGAGATCGAAACAAACGAAGGCGTCGCGTCGACGTGACGCTCCCGGGATGCCGCTCCTTGTGCGAGGCCTCGGTCCGCCAGGGCGGGCCCCTCGCACGGCCAGCACCAGAAATCCTCTGCGAGAATCAAATTACATGGGAACAAATCTCGGTTGCCATATAAGGGGTGCACGAAATGGCTTACTTAGAGGTTCCAAGAGAAGTCGGCTTGCAGATGGTGTGCATAAAGGGTTCTGTTCTGAACTGCGGAAGCATTTCAATCGTGGGGCCAAGATCGCGCCGTCAGGGGAAGCAGCAATAAATGTGCTCCTGCTGGCTCTCATGTCATCCGACTGGTTAAGATCTCGCCTCTTTGCGTGAGCTCTACAACCCCAGATACCCAATAAAAGACCTCAACCAGCTACTGGTGTGTAGAACAGCCAGGCAGTCGAGAGGTTGTGCGGATAATGCTCAAAGATCCTCGGCAGCGGCGGAGGACCGATTTTCTTTCAACAGCTTCAGGGCGTGATAAACTGTCGTCCAATCCCGCTCAGAGCAGCTGGTCGATTGCAGTATGTCCTTATGTGTTGTACTTCTGTGAGTCCTTGCACCTGCCCGCCCAATCTCCTCGACATTGAGCCACGGACTTCGATCCCTCGCATGCAGAGGCGAATCGAATTATGCAGAGGGAGACTTCAATGCTTGGCCTTGAGCAGAAATGAAGCACGGAAGCAACTGCCACCACCTGAAGAAGCTACGCACTCGGGGGGTCGCGTGTCGTCACAAAGAGAGAGTCGTGTAGTCAGCCAGCCATCCCAACTTCGAGCACCGAGCATACGGAAGTACTGGTATCCTATATGTCCCTACGTACTCTATTCTATCGTATTATTGTTATTGTTAGTGTTATTGTTATTTTTATTCTTATTCTCCTTCTTCACCTTTCTATTCCTGTTCTTGTTACTCTCCTTCTCAATCCCATTCCCCTTCTTCTAGTTCTAGTTCTAGTTCGTAATCTAGTTTAACTCCTTTCCATAGAGATTTTTCTATTATGTTTTATGCTGTGTTATTCTATTCGAGTCTAGTCTAGTTTAGTCTAGTCTGTTCTATTCTGTATAGAAAATTTTCACACCGCATTGCATGAGGACGCCGCGAATTCGCTGGGATGCCAGCGGTCTGAATGACGTGATGAGAACGTTGCAATTGCAGACGATTAGATGATCAGAGCGACTAGGGTTGGTGCATTCACAGGGTCTGCCACAGCAGTGAAAATCGACCGCAGCAATCTCTCATTTCAGGCTGGTACCACCCGGGCCCTCGTAGGCAGTAGTGTGCATGCCAAGCCAGTATGTGAACGAACGGAAAGTCTGATGCAATCACAGTCTCCAGAAGATGAAGAAAAGTCTCACAATCGCCGGGTCAACGAGGGATGTTGTCGCTGACCTCAGCTTGGATCTCAATGATCAAGGGGCACTGCGCAGAAGCATGGGCCCATGGCAAGCAGGCTACCTCCTGTGGATGGGCACCCAAGAAATCCATGCATCAAAGAGGCTACACAAATGCGCTCGTCTTCAGTAGTTGGACAGCCAGCATGCTTGTGCAAGCCTTTTCGCTCTGATTTAGGTCTTGCAGCAGGTTCAAACTCTCGGATAGATGGCCCTACATGTATTTAGTGGGAGGTAGCATGCAAACCTGGAGCCAGCCTCCCGCTACGAAGCCGCTCGCCCTTCTTCGTGGCTGCGTGGTCGACAGACTGCGACACGCGGCGACAAAAGAGAGCGCTAGCTTCTGTTCAGCGGAGCCGCGTGTCTGGATATCATCACCTGGAAAGTGCACCCTTTCAGCATCTAGATCTAGAGCCCCACCTCTCCCAACGGCTTTGTGACATTTACGATTGGGCGAGCTCTAGTTCTGCACATGGAAAAGCAGTTGATGTTCCAGAAGAGCAACCCACTTCCTGCCGAGATGAGACTCATTCTACCATCCTGGCTGGGTTTCGGTCTGCCAAGTACGTCGAGGCAGCGGAAGGGCTTTAGCGACAGAGGACTTCCGGCAGGTGAAGGCAAAGCTTGATGCCGTCCTTTGCGCAAGATGCCGAGCTAAAGTGCTTTGAATCTACAGATCGAAATTCCTGCTTCAGGTGGAACAATTGCGCTACGTTGCTCTTTGTAGGAAGGATAACCTATGACAAGTGCGCATTGCCAGCGAACCTCAGCCACCTCAACCGTGCGCATCCACTGCAGGGGATTCGTAACATGTCCTTGTCCCCAACAGCGAGCTGTGCTCTGGGAGGTGGCGGGCAACGAAGTCCTCTGGAGCAGGCCCGTGTGGCCGAGCACTTCTGCCGGGAGACTCTTCGGGTCACTGTGCGGGTTACTATCGAGGTTACCTTAAGGGTCACTTTTTGTTGGGTTATCGCGGCGGTCGAGGAGTTGACCAGCAGAAGGCATTGTTGGCCGTGCCATTCCATTCATATGAGCCTCCTTCAACGTGCTGGTGCCGCGTGCCCACACCGCCCACCGCCCACCTTCGCTGCGGAAGCCCAAGCCTTGAAGCCCTGAAGCACATGTTAACCCTACTGTATTCTCCGTACAGTAAAGCTTTTCCAACCCTGAAACTTTGGAAGGGTGCACCAGATGGACAACGCGAAAAATCCTAGATTTGAAAGCTTTCATTGAGATTTTACGAAGATCCCAAGTCAGAACCAAAGACTCCCCAAGCCCCGCAACAACGCCTTCCAAGCCCTCGCCGACTCACTCGCTGCGGCCTGCTGATGCCCCCTCCCAAGCCCAATCGTCGCGATTCTTGGGTACGTGCACGATGTGGGCTTCCTGCGCGCGCCGCCTTGCAAGCCCGGTTTCACAGCTACGGGCTGCCTGCCGCGCCCCTCCCGCTCTCTCCGTCCCGACTCGTGGGTCGATTCAGTGCTGCGGGCTGCCTGCTCGCTATTGCTCGCTGCCGCTGAAAGCCCGTCTTCACGAATCTTGTGTACATTTGTCTTGATGCAATAGTCCAAGCATCGCTTCCACCTGCTACGTCACGTGTCTTTTGACGGAGTGTGACGTGTCGGCATCTTTTGACTCGCCTTTAGGTCCCCGGGCCATGACTAGTGAAGCGGGCCTAAGCCCATGCGGAGGTTCAGCGAGCTTTGTGCATGGGCCTCAGTGTGATTTCGAGGTGAAGAACAGAAGCGGATGCGAAGGTTTGCCAGGTTAGAGTTAAAAGGCCCGAATGAAAACGAGAAACAACGACTAGAAGCAAGTACCAACAACCCAAGCCAGACGCCATTCAAGAGCCAGCCCAAGGACAGCGTCCTCGAAGCAGAGTGCCCGCCGTGAACACAGCACGTGAAGCTCATAGGCAACAGTGCTTGTGACGTTGCAGGTGCGGTTAGATTCGAAGTGTTTTTCGAGTTTCGGGATGTTCGGATTCGGGTGAAGGCTTAGCAGGCTTTGCGTCCCAAGTGCGACTCGAATACCACTCAGGCTCGTCTTGCTGCTGAGTGGCAAGGCAAGGAGCCCAGACCGAAGATGTGTTAAAGACAAGAGGGACCCCTGCGAAGGCTCGTCTGGCTTCCCTAATCATTCCAAAGCTTCAGCCTTCCTGCAAGTTTTTCGAGGCCGCACGTGCATGCCATACGACCTCGGTTTAGCTCCCTGTGCGCTTACGTAGCAGAAGAAGACTAGAAGACCTGACGCAACCAATAGTCGTCGTTTTCTGGAGGTCAGCATTGCCAAGCCAGGTTTGCCTGAAGGCCGGACGGGATGTCTTTGCCTCCACTGCTGTCTTTCTCTGCTCACGCGCCTCGTCACTCCCAGGGGCGAAGCTGCACAAGGGCGGCGTGGCCGCCACCCAAGTTGGGCTCAGGGTTTCTTTTCCCTTCGGAGGCTTAGACAACTTGGAATGTCGCTGGGTTTGCGCTAATCAAGACTTTTCTAGCTTGGCCCAGTGCATCTTAACCCTTGCCCCTACATGTGTCAAGCATGAGGAGGTTTCGCTTGGCGAAGAGTAAATCTCTTAAGTGAAACAGGAAAGCACCTTGGTTGTGGCTCCTGGAACAGAGGTAATCAAAGTACCGCAGGGAGTTTAATGAAAGGGCCGTTTCAATTTTGGTCAGGGCAGTGAAGTTGTGCGGATGGGACCCAGACGTCGGCTTCTGTGGAACATCTTGAGATACTACCTTGTACCTGCAGCGGCCCCCCTGGAACCACAAAGACCTAACTAGGTGCAAAGATGCACGCACGTATGCAGATACACTTTCAGGGGGCCCTGAAGCCCACCCAAGCGCCGCGCATATGCCATGGCCCAGCGGCTGGATACCTCGATATTCAACGGCTATGCTTGCATGGCTCCTTTCTGCCGGAAACTGTTTTGGAAGTGGGAAGAGGCAAAGCGTCACATGCATCACGAGTGTAAGGCTCTTCCCCGTTCGACAAACCGGCCGAAGCAGGTTGAATCCATCAGGAAGGCACTGGACATTGGTCGCAAGCACAGGGAAGACCATCCCGAGCTCAAAGACGATCGATTCGTTTTTCTAAATGCAGACGGGGCAGTGCTTCCGAGGCCACAGGAAGTCGGACGAAAAAAGAAAGACGACAAGCTTAAGCTGAACAACGATGGTACTGTAGACGGCGACGTACGGCGAGATGGCAAGTCCCAGGGAGCCCCGACTATCAAGCCCGTGACTACTGATGTTACTGCTCCAACAGCACCTATGACAGAAAAGCCATCAGAGCAGCCGAACATCTCGATATTCAAAGGCTATGCTTGCCTTGCTTGTAGCTGCCAGGCTGTGTTTTGGGAGTGGGAAGAAGCAAAGCATCACATGCTTCTGGCATGTGCTTCTTTTCCCCGCTCAATCAAGCGGCCACAGGAGATTGCCTCCATGAGGAAGGCACTGGACCTTGCCCAGAGGAAACCACCCGGAGCAGAGAGGACACCCCCCAGAGCGGAACGATGAGGCGATTTTTCTGAGTGCAGACGGCGCGCTACCACAAGAGGGTGCTTTCCAGGAAGCCCGAACCATCGAGCTGTTGACTGTCACGGCCCCTAGAACAGCACCTTTGTTACCAAAGCCATCAACAGTTGCAAACGGCAGCCAATCGCAGGGAGTCCGCCCACAAAGCAAGAAGCGACCTCGCACTTCGAAGATCTCAGTGGTACCTCCACTGCCCAAATCGGCCACAGCGGACATCTCCAACCTCCAGATTGTTCTCTGGGATGAAGCTGCCAGCCAGCCCGAGGCTAAGCCGAAGTTGCTGCCCCCGCCGCCTCCTCCTGGCTGTTGCCCGCAGATATCTCCGACCGTCTATCCCGGTCCGTCCTGCTGGTAGTCTTTGGGTTCTGGTCGCGCTTGGCACGTGGCTTGCGACCTGTTTGCTGTGCGATGCGAACAGTGTCTTGTGCCCTTGCACCTCATTCTCCCAGACGGCAGGGCTACATGTCCCCTTAGAAGCATCTTACCGACTCGACCCTGAGCTCGTAAGCAGCTGAGCCCGAACCATGCAGGTTTCAGAAGACTCCCGAAGAGCGAGGTGTTGAAAAGATGATGCACACGCTATCTGAAGGTTCCGTGGCTCTGTTTGCATAAAGTTGCATAGCGCTACTCATTCCACACACACACATATAGATATATATATATACATATACATACACACGTGTATACATACATACATACATACATACATACATGCATACAGTCAGTCAGTCAGTCAGTCAGTCAGTCAGTCAGTCAGTCAGTCAGTCAGTCAGTCAGTCAGTCAGTCAGTCAGTCATTCACGCATGCATGCATGCATTCATTCATTATTCATCTGTGGTGATGCATACATCCATACATGCATGTGTGTATACGCTCTGGTAGTGGTGAGAATACCAACAGTAAGGTTCAGACTGACCTCGAGGGTTCACCAGAACCCAAGCCTTCCAACAAGGTCAATACAAAGGATCCAGATGTTCTGGGCGTGGTCGTGGAGCAGGAGACATCACGGGAACCGATGTTAAGATCCTGAACAACCGTGTCTTCTCGCTTCCTTAAATGAGCCGCAGAAATGAAAGGAGTGCTCCTTGCTCTACGTTGACATGCCAAGGGTGGAGCAGGCAGGGCGCGAGGAGTTCCAAATTTCGCAAATGATGCACTGCATCTTTGTCGCTAAGTTGCTTCTTAGCTCGTGCTAGTTTTGTATGTTCAGGTGCTGGGATGTGACGACTGGTAGCTTTTTGTGGAGCCTGGTGCATATTCGCCATCGAACCGACCGTGTGCAGTATGGCACGGTTTGCGCTGTATCAAGCATAGCAGACCGACGATTTTCTAACTTGAAAAACCAGCATTTCTTGCGGGCACCACACACACACACACACCTTGCACATCAAGACTGTGTAGGTACATATACACGTTCATGCATGTGTGTATGTGTGTGTGTATGTATGCATGCATGCATGCATGCATGCATGCATGCATGCATGCATGCATGCATGCATGCATGTATGTATGTACGTAGGCATGTAGGTATAAAAGGTGTGTAGGGTATGTCAGGTCTGTAAGGTATGTAAGTCATGAAAGGTATGTCAGGGGTGTGGGTATGTACATATGTATGTAGGTCTGTTTGCCTGTCTGTTTGTCTGTCACCATGCGAAGGTGTGGGTATGTTTGTTTGTTATATGTATATCTTTAGCAGACGCACCAGCGTATGAATGCAGGTGTTAACAACAACTGTGTGTGTGTTTCTCAGTGATTGATTTGACCGTTTATCAGTGTGGTTTGGTGAGTGTTGGCACAGGTACCAATGAAGCCACTGCAACTGCAGATTCGTGCGATGGTGGCGATGTTGCTCACAGTTTCCAGCTGCCGCCACAGGACATGGCCGATTCCCGAGCAGCACGCGAGCAGGCACTGTGGAGAAACGAAGCCCAAGAGAAGATGGAATTAAATTTCAAGAGCTAGGGCTGCTGCACAGCTACATTCCAAGGCTTGCTCATTGTCGGCACGCTGAGACATGGAGTATGCGAGAATCCAGACAGGACACTCAGCTTGAAGCCGAAACTGTGCCAAAGCCCATCCGATCCACTCCAAAACAGCCCTAGTGGTAGCAACTGCCCGGGCCAACTGCCATCCGACGACTTAACCCTCGGTTCGCGACGATGCTGTGCGAGAGGTGGAGCGTGAGCTGCGCAGGCGCAGCTGCGGAGGGGGAGGGGGCCCTTGATCAAGAATGTTTAGGTCTTCGTGGGTGAGGTTGCCGAAGTCCTTAAGGCAGCAGCTGGAATGACTGAAGCATTTTTCAGCCTCAAATCGCTCGCTCAAAGCCGTCCCATCATCGGAGCCATGTCTCAGCCTGTCGCCCTTTCCGCCTCTTGGCAGAAGGTGCGATACAGTTGCGGGCTTTGGGGCTTAGACTGTTGTTTGTTTCAACTTGACTTTGGCTTTGGGATGTGCATCGGCTGCTACAACAAGCGGATTGCCATCTGCAATCTCGATGGAGCTTCCCGGGAACGGGGCAGCATCATTGTCCATGATGATAGGGAGAATATTGTCTACAACTGCAGATGTACCCGACGGAGAAGTGGATGACAGCAGCAAGCACGGTCTTCAGAGAAAGTGGCAGAGCAGGGGCAGGGGGGAAGGTGGCAGGGCGAGTTGCACAGGAGTGGGCAGTGCCAGTGGCAGTAGCAGCACTAGAAGTAGAAATCATCGTCATTATCATCATCGTCATCATCACCATCACCACCACCACCATCATCATCATGATCTTCATCCTCATCCTCATCATCCTCATCCTCATTTTCATCTTGATCTTCATCCTCATCATCATCACTCATCATCCATCATCCATCATCATCATCATCACGAACAGTAATAAAAGTCATGACAACAGGGATCGTAACGATCATAGCCTGCTTCAAGAAAGGCTGTGCTCGGCGCTGCTGCGCTGGGTGGATGTGCATTCTTGGCACCAGGCAGCTTCTAACTCACGCAGATTCTATGGTGCTGTTTGCAGTAAACAGGAAACGATACTTTGCAGCTCCTATGGTCCTATAGAGTTTTGAAACGTGGGGCAAACCGAATCTTGACCTGACCACAGGCACCTCGCCAGAGGCACGCGCTCCTCGAACTCTGCGCGGCGCCTCCCAGGCACGGAACAGAACGAAAGATGAGCAAGCATGAGGGTTAAGATGATTTCGGGTATTGATTGGTTCCAGTCAGCTTGTGAGCACTGGGGCAATGTTGCGGTGCTCTGGCTGCGAGAAGGCAGTGTCTGGAATTCTCTACATGGCAGCGTCGAACTAAGGGATAGCTGCACTTAGATGGGTCTCCACGCAGCCCCCACCACGCTCCGTTACATCCAAGACATGCCGAAGAGGGTGCAGAAGACGGAACATGCTTGAGTTACAGCTCGAACTGTGCTTGAGTTACAGCTGGAAGCCGTCACCGAAAAGTATGTAGTGCTTGTTCGGCTTATATAAGAAGCAGGCTTTGGCACCATGCATGAGCTAGGAATATGTTGCCAGCCCCCCCTCACGATCTTCCATTCAACATGCAATGCAGATTTGTAAAGATTCACGTGGCGATAGGCTCCTCAGGGTGCTGCCTTCGGCAGCGCTGCGCCTTCTGCACTCATGGGAGCCGGGGTGGCGGCAGCCTCGGCCTCAGAGAGTCCAAGCGTGCACCGATTCATCTAGTGTTTGGAGGCCTTCAGCACAAACCTCAGCTGCAGCGGCTGGTATTTAGTTGCTTCAAACATCCTTTGCTGGCTTTTGCGCGTACTGATGCTCCCCGGTGTCATGCGCACCTCTTTGTTTTCTGGGGTTTCGCCGCTCTCGCTAGGCCGCGGTCACGGCCTGCAGGGCTGCAGCGGTGAAGAAGAAGGGTGTGAAGGCGAGGGCAGCGAGGAAGAGTGCCCGGAGCATAAGTGCCCGTACTCACAGGCTCATGGCAATGACCTGACCATGTGAGCCCCAGCCCCGCAAGTCCAAGCATGGTCATTCTGAAAGGAACTCAGCACCACCATCATCATTGCCATCAGAGCAACCGGCAGGTGATCCATGGCAAGGAGATCCCGTGGAACCTCTTCACACCTAAGGCGCCCTACCAGGCCAAGGCGCGGTCCTCTCCGTCGGATGCAGAGTGCTTTTGCGAGGTGATGTGACTGGCTCCACTGCAGCTCCTCCCTCCTCCCTCCTCCCTCCTCCCTCCTCCCTCCTCCCTCCCCGCCGCCGCCGCCACCACCACCACCACCACCAACAACAACAACTACTACTACCACCACCACCACCATCACCGCTGTTGTGGTTCTTGGCGGCTGCCGCTGTTTCAATGGTATTACAACCTTGGTCAATTACATTCCAGATTTCTCACGTGAAGCTACATGGCATCGCAACGATGCCACGCATCCGACTTGCGTGCAAGCCGTGCCAAGACAGCTTCCATGCCGACATGTTGCAAGGGTGGCTCTTGCCCAGCAGGTCGTGCCGAACCAGAAGCACCCTCAGACATTGACAGAGGACAGCCAAAGGTATCCGGGCAGATCGATGAAAGGCTGGGTCATTGGGGCAGTAGCTCGCTGCTGCAGGATACCGGCGATGCCAACTGGGAGACGACACATGCGACTCGGTTTTGGATATGTTTCTGGTTGAGGAGCACCGCGGAATCAAGCTTCCAATTCGGCACATCCATCAGAAGCAGAGCCCAACCTGTGCCTCCTCAGGTCACGTTTGACCACGATGGCAAGGTGCCCTACATTGAGGGTCAGTCCATCGGCGTGATTGCTCCAGGACCGGCGCAGAGCGATGGCCCTGTGGCAACCAAAAATCAAGAAGAGTGTTTTCGACAGGTTGAAATGGTAACAGTTTCCACATGGAAGTCTCCAAACCAAGTCTCGAGCATACCAAAAGCCCCAAAGAGCCACGGTTTTGAGGACCCGACAAGAAGGGCGAGACGCCGGCCAGGCAAGAAGGGCGCTTCTG